GGATAGTGTTACGGACTTCGCCAGGGCTCGATCCCTGGTCTATCTTTTGCTGTTTCGGCTGCATCCCGGCACTCTTTTTCCAAACCCCTCCTTTGGTACTGTAGGATTTTGGACAACTGGCGCCATGCTGCAATTCGGGCGCCACTTTCAAATACTGCATTTTTCAGTTCTGCCCTCGGGGCCTTTGCAGAAATGCCCCTGGTACCGTACGTGTCACCGGTACTTATACCGGCTCCCCGTACGGTACGGGGACCAGTCTCGTACCGGTTCTCTGCTGCTGTACTTGTACTCAGTGTGACTTGCCGTTTCGGCATTGGGGAATCCAAGACTTCGACTTTGTGCCTTGCCACTGTGTCTGCGTCCAACCCTCAGTCCGAGTCCGTCGTGTCGAGTGAGTGAGTGTGTGTGTGTGCTCTCCCTCTCTCCCTCTCTCTCTCCTCTCCCTCGGCTCACCCTCAGCCTCACTCCCGTTACAGTACAAATACGGATGGAAGTGCTGGATACCCCACACTACCGCATAGCATTCCCCTTGTGGCGCGGAATCGTTTCGTTGCTCGTCTGGCACCGTCCGGGAAGCGTACTCAACTACATGCTCCTTCCCATCGTTTCCCTTCTGTACTAGAATTGCCGAAATAGCCTCCGGCTGCCAGTCGGTGATGAGAATAAACTGCCGAGAGGGGTCCGGCCGAATCAGAATCGGGGCCGTGACGAGAGCATCCTTCAAGGCCCCGAAGGCTTGGTCGCACTCGTCATCCCAATGAAGGGGCTGTTCTTTTCGCAGCAGGTTTGTCAGAGGCCTTGCTATAGCCGCGAACCCCTTGATGAACCGCCGGTAATACGAGGCCAGGCCCAAGAAGGCTCGAACCTGCGTCAGTGAGGTCGGAACCGGGGCCTCTTTGACCGCCGCGACTTTTCGAGAGTCCGGCCGCAGGCCTTCTCGTGTCACCACATACTCTAAGAATGAGATTTTCAGAAGGCAAAACTCGCTCTTTTCCAGCGCAATCTTGAAACGTGCGTCTCTCAACGCACCCAACGTCCATTCGATGTGTTGTGCGTGTCCGTGAAACGTGTCCGAGTACACCAGAATGTCATCCATGTACACAATGACGCAGAAGTTAATAATCCCCTGAGTCAGTCGTGTCTTATTGACGAAATTATGAAAAGTCACGTTCATCGCCTGCTGAAACGTGGCAGGCGCATTGCAGATTCCCATCGGACACCGAACCCACTGCCACGTGCCTTCAAACAAAACGAAGGCGGTCTTGGGCCGATCTTCTTCCTTCACCAAGATATGATGAAACCCATGCCGAATGTCGAACTTGCTGAAGTAGTTAGCACACCCGATCGCATCAAGCAGATCATCAATCCGGGGAAGGGGATACACATCTTTAATCGTGATATCATTTAGTTTTCGATAATCGATGCATATGCGGACTGACCCGTTCTTTTTAGGAACCAATACAACTGGGAACGACCAGGGACCGGTGGCAGGCTCAATCCATCCGTTTGCCTCAAATTCCTTGATTCGCTGCAAGGCCGTCTTGCGCTCTGTCAATGAGTATCGGTACGGCTTGTAGTGGATCGGGGAATGATTCCCGGTCTGAATCTCATGCTGAACGACCACAGATAATCCAATATCGGCATCGGACACGCTAATCGCCCCTCGATATTCTATTAAAATATCAGCGATCAACCGATGGATCTCATCAGGTACATACTGGGGCACATGCAATTCATACATTTGATCCAAAATCTGAACGTTAACTTGCTTCGTGTGTATACGCCGAGTAGTGTCAGGCGATGCAGATATAAAAGAGTGATCCGATCTCCAAGAAAACACAGTGGCCACCATCTGTGCTTCCTCCTCCCTGATTGTTGTATGACCTTCGGGGGTTATCCCGTCGCAGACGCCTCGCCAGTGCACGCTTTTGGGCGAAATTTTGATCCCGAGTTCATCGGATCTTGCCTCGATGCGCTGAGGGGGTTCCAAAGAACCTGCTTCGGCTCCCAAACGCAACAACTGAACCTCTTTTGCGGGCTGAAGCAGGGATCGAGGTAAGCCAGTGAGATCACAAAAGGAACGTTTGTCACTATACCGAAGGAGAAGGGGAGATACGCCTTCGTACAGGGTCCGAGGGGGTTCCAAGGAATCAACCAGCCTCGAAATCTGTACGAGGGGTTCTCCCATGATCATCATATGAGCATTCTGTGTGGTCAGATGCATAGTACGCGCAATAGTGCGAGGCGGCGGGTAGTGAATCCGCTGCCGTACTAACCGTGTAACGACTGGATCGTCATCGTCGTCGCTCCCTGCGTCGTTCGATGATTGGCCTCCGTCCACAGGTGCATTCCAGGAGACCATGCGGAGCGCTCCCATTGTTTCCGGAGAAATTCGGGGTACTACCTTAACCGACGTTCGAAGAGTTAGTCTCATGGGTATTACATACGGCTTTCCCCTGGTATTCCGGAGAATGACGGATCGGCATTCGAAGTCCAAATTACCACGCAGCGCCACGAATGCAGGAAGCCCGAGAAGAACGTTATACGTATTTACATCCAACACCACAACATCTCCTAAAGCATGCACTTTTCCCAATCGGAATGCTACATTCGTCATTCGCCCTACTGTCTTGATCTTCTCTTCGTCAGCCGATACGACACTCCCCAGACTTCAATATCACATTCGGCTGACTTCCACGGAATCGGCTTGATCCGAAGAAAGTGGTCATCTTTCTGTATCAACCCGACTCGGATGGGATCAGGGGCGACATCCGCCTTTTCCTCCGAAGTCGGCGCCTTCGCCTTCTGATCTTTTGCGCGTGCAAGGGCGAATCGCTTCCGGTTCGCTTTGCAATGCTGCATCATACGTTCGTTCGCATGTTCCGAAATGGAGAGTAGGTGGCCGATTGGGAGCGGGATTCGATGATCCAGTGCTCGGGTGACATCAAGGACATGGATCTCCCCTTTAACAAAGGTAGGGCCTCCCGTCTCCATTTCGCTCGACGAAGGCCGCTGTTCGGCGACATCTCTGGATTCGAGTTCCGGTCAAATTGTCCTAATCATTCCCAGCCCCGGGTATCCTAGTGATACGTACTGCTCCAGCGGGATAAGCTCGGCTGCTTCCTCACTGGAAATCATCATTCCAGTATTTCCCCCCTGATCATCCATCACGGCTCCTACACATCCTGGGTCGTTAGCTATGGGAGCTGCAGCTGCAGGCGCGACCCCGGCTCGAGGCTGCATGTTACGATGGGGGCAATCTCGGGCCAAGTGTCCCGGTTGATGACATGTAAAACAGACATTTGCCGCTGTCCCGGCTGGCCCCGCTGCGACTTGCGCAGCAGCCATGCCTCCCTGCGTTGGTGCTCGCACCGCAATGGGTCGCATATTCCGCATCATAGCTTCTAATCGGGCGTTGTGCTCTCTTTGTTCCTTCTTGCTTTCTTGGATTAGACTAACCAATGTTTTAGTTAGCTCCAAGATAGCAGTAGACTCATTCGCTCTTGCGGGTGACTCGATGGGGGGTGGCGGTGCAGGTGGCTGAGTTACGGTTGGGGATGCTATTACCAGGATCTGCTTGTTTACCGTCGCTCCATATGGTGCGGTCCTCAATGTTACATGTTCTATATACGTGACGGGTCCGGCTACGAATCCCATGTTTTCGAATTTGTTTTGCAGTGCGGCCAGTTCCGCCCTTGCTTTCACAAGTTCGAACGAGTCTCCTTCTCTACCATAATCCTCGTTTTCTAAGAAACTAGCTGCGAACTTCCGCTCCATTTCTTCGGCAGCGTCCATAATTTATTGCAGCGTGTGGTTAATGGGAGAGAAGTTTTTACGTAGCTTCCCCCGAATCGTTCTGTTACGTAGTCCATCAATGAACAGGTCCCGGCCTACCTGCTCGCCTCGCTCAGTCTTTACAAACATTCGATGAAATCTGTTCCGATACTCGGTAATGGATTCGAGTGGTTTAAGGACTTGATCCTTGATCATATAGAGTGCTTGTTCGGGGTGAACATAATCAAAGTGGTTCATAAAATCCCACTTAAATGTGGGAAGATCCACCCATACATAAGTGCTATACCAATGATGGGCGTCTCCCCCCATCCGCGCGGGGATGTTGATCTGAGTTTCATCGTTCGTATACCGCCGAGCTCGGAGCGTGGCCAACCATGCTCCGCCCAGATGGTGTGCTGGGTCAAATAAATAAAGATCTGGTGGAGCCGCAGGGGCTCGCGCAGGCGGGTTGGGCGGTTGATTGGGGATGACCGCCGCAGCGGCTGCTGCAGCAGCGGCCGCAGCCATGGCGCCTGCTCGCCTTGTGGCGGATGTTCGGCTTCGTGTAGCTACAGGACTACGTCGGCGTGTATAACTAGCTGGTGGGCGCCTACGTGGAGCCAGATCGCCTCGCCTTAGCCAGTATTGAGTCTACAGACCCTATCGCTTAGCCACATGTCGGGCTCCGATACCAACCTCACGCCCGGCGCGACTTCCTGATCGGAGTGGAGTGGGGGCCTGGAAGTGCGAAAAGGGGTGTGCCAAGGATTTTTGGAAAGTGGGGGTGGAGTCCTAGGTCGGAACTGAGATCTCCGGTGGCAAGGTTCAGGGGCATAGATGCAATAGAGCAATGGGGAAATTTACGGGCGTGGGTTTGCACGCTGGTTGTGCGGGGCCGTCCGATCCTGACATGATTGCCAGTTCTGGGGAGCCTGTCGGGGCGGTCCTTGGGGCCTATGCCTGCGCGGTCCGCCACGTGACGTGGGTTGGTGGGAACTATGCCTAGGTGCCGGGGCTCAGGGGGTCCGGGTATGGGCACGTCGCCTGCAGCTTCTGCACGGGGTGGAGGGTCAGTAAGGTGCTATGGAATTCCACGGAACTACTGTAAGCTAATGATAGGGGAGGAGGAGGTGGTATGGCAGGAAGTTAGTGGTGATGAGGACAGGGGTTATGAAATACTGCGTGTTGTACGTGTCTAGGTAGTCGGGTATCCGTGGGTCGCTTCGTACGGCGATATGAAATTCCCTAGCTCAGAATCTATCGTTTTCCGTGAGGTAGGGGAACACCGGGTTTCTCGAATTTCCCCGTAATCGGAGTTGCTCTTCTTCCCAGATTTCCCGGTACCCGAAATACGATTCGTAATTCCCGGAATTCCAAGATACGTCGGAACTCCGCAAGCTCGTCATTCTTTCATCACTCACGCCTTGGGGGATAAGTTAATCGGGGAGATCCCCGCTCGTAAGTGCGTGAGAGAGAGGCGAACAAGTCGCACTTACGCGCATTTACGAGCGATGGGTAACCCGATCCCGATTGACATCGACTCCTACTTCAGTGAGGGGCTGACTACGTGTGTTAGCCAAGACGCGATTGGCGAGTCCGAGTGGTATGGACGCATGTAAGCCGCGCTCCGTCCGGATCGCACTTGCATGTGCCCCATATGGCACATCGGATGGTGCGCTCCAGACCGCTCTTAAGCCAACACACTCTATTGATCACGCTAACATGCAATCCTAATTTCATTCATCATGTGCGAGGGTTCGAGGGAAACGATCAAAAACGAAATGCAAGGGTGCGCGAACCATCCATACATTATTTGCAAAAGAGGATTCCGGAGAAGGAAAGACAAAGGAGAAAACATCGATGAAAAACCAAATCGAACAACAGGATGAGTATATGGCCGCAAAGACAAGGGCGAATTGCCCGTAATCGACACCAAAATTTATGTACACAGATAAAGAAAGGAACGAAAAGAAAAGCGCAAATCCATGTCCATTCTCAACCTGAACTCTCTCTCTCCTCTCTCTCTCTCTGATGCCGATAGTCCGTCGTCGCGCACCAACACACGAAGCCGTCACCCCGCTTAGTCCTCCTGCGCCTGTCAGGTTCGCTCCGCGCCCACAGTCCGTCGTGGCCCGCGTCWACCCCAAGCATTCGGCACCAGCTCGTCGGGTCGCCCGACTCCCACTTCACTCACCTCTTACTTCGCTCGTGTGCCGACCCTCTCGATCGCGCAACCCCGAGTTTTCAGCAACTGTTAAGAGAGGGAGTTAATCGCGCAGCCGGAATTTATAGCGTGCATGCATGCGCGAAGAACACAGAATTACAAGGACGTAGATAGATGGGGGAAAGGGAGTGCTTACATTTGCATGGTCGGGCCGCGGCGTGGGGGACGTACCCAACTCCACGCATCGATCCGATCATGCAATCGCGGCTACCCAGATAGGGAGGGGAGACAGGAAGAATAAGAAGCAAGAAACAAAAAGATACAGTTACAAAAGTGTGCGCCCAAAATTACAGTTGCAAAAGGATTAAGGCGCCAATCAATCAGGGTCCTGGCCCAGCAGCAAGAAAGAGCGCGCGAACACGCAAAGCAGCGCCCCAGAAAAACCAAAATTCCAAAATTCCAAAATTCCTAGCTAGCCTGCTGATATTATGAAAAGGTCTGAAAAGAAAATCAAAATTCTGAAGGCCGCATGGCTCCGACCAAGATTCGAAAAGAAAATTCAAGAAGGAAATTCAAAAAGAGACACCGAAATTCCCGCGCGATGTCTGCGCGCCTAAAAGTCCGACAAAACAAAATTAAAAGAAAGGAAACAAAAGAAAAGAAGCGACGTCAACGTTTATTAATCGCGCACTCGGCACGCACTCCGCATCCATCCGACCAAGCTTCACCCTTTTTTCCCCGTACATTCCCGAATTGTCCCCAACTGTCATCAGGGGCTTGTGCGAGAACGAAGAGGCAACGAAGAAAACAAGGACACACATGCAATTTTCCATCAACCCGTCCAATCGACGTGGGACCCCGCTTAGCATTTTGCGCAGAAAGTCGCGCATTACAGAAGCTAGTTCGTCACATGGTTGTCGATCGATCCAAGCATCCCCATGAGACCTGCAGAGGAGTTCCCTGACCCCTTCCCTCCCCACCCGGGTTCCCTGAATATATGCCTGTAAACCTCCACCCATCCAAAACCCTCATTTTCCTCGCATCCCAACTACAACCTTTTGCGGCGTCAAAGCCGCCTTTTTTCTTTTGTGCTTTTTTTCATCCCTCTGATGGGGGGTGGGTCTCGATGTATGGCCAAAGAGATGAGAGGAGGTCGGCAACGGCTGCAGAATGGGATATGGACCAGATCAGGAAAGAGATTGGGGCATTTTTGGGGCGGAAAGGGCCAGTACGTAGCACGGGAAAGCTGGCGCCGATTTCAGGGTGAAGAGGTCCCCCCTGCTCAGTCAATCCCCTAAACTCCAGGGTGATACGGGAAAGATTCTCCTACAAGTTTTTCTGATGTAATCCAATGGATGCCATTGTAAAAAGGTGAGAGTCCAACATTCTGATACAGCAGGGAAGGATGACAGCTTGTTATCCGGCAGATGGCTGCATGGCTGCACGACTGCAAGGGGTCCGTTCGAGGAAGGGCAGGGTGATGGGAGGACCCACTGGTGCCCCCCAGTGGCTCCCCCCGGCCCCTGACCAGATGAATAGATACGGATGAGGAAGGGGATCAGCTGGATGCCCATTGCATCTTCAGATTAGGGATGGGTGGTTTGGTTCTGGAGTCCAGAGCAGTCAATACTGGCAGATTTTCTCCGGCTGTGGTCCTAGAAAATCACTCTCCCAAGTTTTTCCGAATGTCCTGTTCAGTCAATCCCCTGTATTCCAGGGTAATC